GACACATGTAGTAAAGTTAGTGTATTGTGGCGATTACATCAAACATAACCCACACAGCCAGCAGTCAGCACAGGGATTCTCTGTGGCGGCGATTCACAAACTGAACTCACCAGTAATGGAGCCCACTCCGTCCTAGAGCCAGTGCACTGCTTGCCAACAGCACCAGCCAGACTACAAGTGTAACTCCGAGTGTTGTCGGAGAATCACTAAGCTTGTATTGAAACTTCAAATGAGTTTGTTTTTTTGCTTGCTTCCTGGGATCCAGAAGAGGAGGTTTTGTTAAGATATGGACTTTTGTGGAGATTGAATTGAGAAAAGGACCTGATTCATTGGCGGTTGAACTGGTGGCTTTGTATTGAGTACTGATTGTAACAGACGTGGTGAACTTGGTGTTCTTGTCATCTGTCGGTACCTGATGATATGATATATTTGATGCCATGACTTGGTTCTCAAGTTGTCTTTCTGGAAATTATTATAATGTGATACTTCTTCTCCTCCATTACTCATCCAGTAACCAGTTTTACTCTGCCCTTTCTAATCTGCTTCCCTCTTGTCATGGATGACATATAGGCTACAGTGATAATCATATATTGATTGTGCCTCTTGAATTGAATTACCTGGTTGTTTAGTAGGTGGAGTGATGTTGTGTGCTGAAAGACCTGGGTCTTTTTGTCCACGCAAACATGCATGTAATGTTTTGTGTAAATATATTGAACATTTACAACATTATTTACTCTAAATTATGCCTAAATAAGCTAAACGTTATTTATTCATTTAGAGCATTGTTGGGTTACACAGTATGGTAGAACAAAGACTGGGCCTTCTGATATCCTACAAGCCAGACCCCGGCCTGTTGGATTCCCCAAAGCCTGCCCATGCGGCTTGGACTTGACACAAAGGGGGTCAGAGAACAATGGGAAGCCCAGATGAACCCTAAACTTTAAAACCAAACCAAAGGTTTGTATTGGCTTAAGCTTTCAGGGGGCGGAGTAGTTCCTAGGAAGACAGCCATTTTGTCAACAGAGGTATAAAACCGAACACCTTCGAACCCTCATCGCCGTTCCAAGTTCCTCAGGGGACAGTAAGGAGGTAAACAAACTCTGCCTTTCTGCAACTGCACCAACAGCCACAGGAGGTATTTCCTTTCAGCGCTGAACTTCCTTTGTTCCTGAATACAGACTTCACTCGCCAGACAAGTAACTCTGTTTCTTCTTTCTTTTTACCTCTATTATTTTTCTTTGTGTTACCAACCCAATTTTGGATCCCTAAAGAAACTGTTATACACAAGATAACGTTTCGTGCCTGCAGAAGAAGATGGATAAACTCCGTGCTTAACTTAGAGAAGATCACCTCCGTGTTATACCTTCTCAACAAACGTCGACTTCACTGATGCTGTTGCTTCTGCCAAAGAATCAGCTGTGCCGTTGAACCTACCGGCATCGTCAGAACCGAGCCGAGAGAAAACTCCTCCAGATTTCCCAAAAGGACTGACGCAAAGCGACACGTAAGAGGCTTTAGTATGTCTGGGCAGCAGATAGTGTATAACCTTGTTATTGTAAACTTTCTACAAGCTTCATGTAGTGAATTTGATTTGAAGTGTTTTCAACAGTAATTAGGATTTCTGGTGTTGGTTCTGTTGTGTGAGAACAGATCCAATTGCACATTCTATCTAATCCAAAGCCAGCAACCGCTGCTGAATGAATCATTCACTGCTGGTGGCTGTAAGATAGTTGGGATATCGTATGTATGGCTTTGCTCTGTGCCTTTCTCTCCTCCTTCTGCTTACTAACCCCACATGCACACACCACATGATCTCTGAAGCTAACCAGACCTGTGACCCACAGCAGGCTAGCATCAGAGTGCGTCCCCATTTTTTTAGGTGATTTTTCACCATCTTGATCTTGAAACCACATGGTTTGAACCGCCATCTTGATTCCAAAATCAGTGGCCTCTAGCACAACCGGATCTGGCACACCCACATGGTCGGATCCACCCGCCTCTCTTAGTCTCCGCCCCTCCTTTGTCTCTCCACACACACACACACACTTGCTGGATTGTTGTATGTTTTTGTATGATTTGTTTATTGACTTTATTTCATTTTTGCATAGAATAGTTAATAGTGATTTACTTGCTAAAGTTATTGATCATTGATCTGTGCTTGAGTTAAATAAATCCTATTATAGTTTTAAGAAGTCGTTGTCTGTGTATTTGTGTATAAGGTTGTAGTAAGAGTTGGTTGCCACGGCCAGTGTACGGATTTACCCTTCTCTGTTTGCCATCTATAGGTAGACAAAACCGATTTTAGACTGATCATACTTGGCATATTTGGTTCTTGGTCCTGATCCCAGGGTGTTGCCTCGTATTTATTAATTATAATTAATAATTTTGAATATTAATAATTGTATTAATATTTCTAGAATATCTTTGATATTCAGCTAATAACCAAACCTGACCATGTTGACAAAAAACCCCAACAGCTTATATTTCAAAAGTGGCCGATAAAAATAAATTTCATTTCATGACTATGTTACAATACAGTGTACCAATTCATAGTAATTAATTAGCAAGACAATCTTCCCAAAAACTGTATTATTCTAAGCCCTTCCCTAGGGCTCAAAACATTTGTCGATATATATTGTCTGCCTGATTCTCTATTTCATATCATTGGCAATAGAAAATCTTTGGGTTTTGGACTGTTAGTGGTCTTGGGCTCTGAGAAAGTGTGGTGGCCTTTTTCATAATGTTCTGACATTTTCAAGACGAGTAAAAAATTTTTTTAAAATCAATAGATGAATCCATAATGAAAGTCATTTGTAGTTGCAGTCCTGCACTTCATATCTGCCAGACTACAATATAGCAATTTAAATGATAAAGTCTCGACTTGATTCACCATTTTCTTTTGTAATGAACAATAATGACCACTTAGACAAAATCTTCAGGCTATCACATTCTGAGTAGCACATCAGCCAGTTAGTCATAAAGCTGTGAGATATCTGCTTAAACAGTACATCAGTACCGACTAGTTTGTGTATAACATGTCAGTGCTAGCCTGCCAGCCATGTTGTATTTTTGTATTGCACTGTATTGATTTTTAGGTAATGCCGGCTCATGCAATAATAGTTCTTTCTTTCACCCCCAAACACATCCTTTTCTTTACTTACTTGGCGGCCTTTTCATTGAGCACCTTGAGGAAGCTGTGGGCAGGAGCCAGCAGGTTAGGAGTGTCCAACAAGAGGCCTCGGAGCAGCGGCGAGCTGATCTGTGATTGGATAACTGGAAGCAAGGCCTGCAGTTCCAGCCCCAGGCGAGAAAGACTGCTACTAATGAGGTAAAACTCCTGCGTGGAAGACTAAAACACACACACACATATAAAGACACACATAAGATTTGATGGTTGCATAGTGTATCTCAATTGTAAGACAAGCTGCAACAGATCAAAACTCAATGGCCATTTATAAACCAGAAATAAGAAATAACTTCTTTGTTCTCCAACAAAGTGCATTTAATGTTGTATTCCCGTGTGTGTGTGTGTGTGTCTGGGGGAATCTGTGGGCCAGCGAGATTATATCACAAAATCTCATCTGCACTGGTTACGACAGCCAAGCTTAAAGAGCAACCATTTATAACAGCCAACACTCTGAGAGACACCACTCATTAGCAGCAGCACAGACGGCAAGTCTCCACAATATGGCAGAAAGAAATAAAACATAGTCCCAAAACACATTTCACAGCAAAATGAACCAAGAGAAGTAACCATGACGTTACACAGACTTACAGGTAACTTGTTTATTGGACAGCTTTGGCAATTGTCATCCTGCATCATCAGGACACACATGGGGAAATCAAACTCGGGTGACTGACAGAAGTTTATGCAGCACTTTAATGCTTCTGATCTGTCTCGCAAACAGCTCACAAAGTAATAATTTATTATAAGCATGACTAATAATGTTAGACCGCAGATCGACCACATAGCCTATTATGAATAATAACGTAAAAACAAGAGATGTAGGCCTCCATTAATAACTCGGGGCTTATTAGCCTATTGTATGCTGTGGTATCGCTGTCACAAATGTTTTATGGACTTAATGAACTGGCAGGGTAAACGGAGTATTACTTGCCTTTTGGTGCGCACCCGAGTGCCATTGCTGCTGTTCACACCTGCCCAAACGAACCGCATCAAGTGGGAAAATGAACTCTAGGGCAATTTAACCAAACTAAACGAGGCAGGTGTGAAAGCACCCGGCTGCCATTAATCAGTTTCGTTTGTGTAAATATCAGCTCTTTTGGTAACTGCTGATAATCCAGATTATGAGATAGCTGTCTACAATCTAATACACAAATTACTCTCTTATGTTTCCTCGTGATCAATGCTGCAGCTTTAAAAATAGAACCGGTGATCATTTAAGATGAAATCCAGTTGATGATTAATCAATGCTACGCATGGAAATTCCTCTGAAGAGAGGTGATATTGTACATTATTAGGGCCCGAGCATGAAACATGCAAAGTCCCTATTGAAACGGAATTTTTAATTTTTTTTCTGCAAACTAACCTTAAGTTTGGGGGCCTAAACATACTCAAACTCACCAAACTTTGGACATAATTCAGACGCGGCGACAATTTTTTTATTTTATGGTTTTCCCGCATGGGCGTGGCAAAATGGCTCGCTAGCGCCCCGTACAATGGTACAATGTTTCACCTACTTGCACGAAATTTCAGTGGTACGTATATCATGTCCAGACACACAAATAAGCCTCTTGGAGCGATGCCCAACACCCAACAGGAAGTTGGCCATTTTGGATTAAATGGTAATTTTTGGCGATTTACACACTTTGTACTTTAACAAACTCCTCCTAGGGAATTAGTCCGATCGACTTCAAATTTCTGCTGTGCATTCTAAATGCATTGACGATGAAAAGTTGTGCTATCTGTGAGTTCTCGTCAATGGGCGTGTCCGTGGCGTGGTGTCCATGATTCGCCACAAAACAGGAAGTTGTTAGAACGTCAGTATACATGCTCACATCTGTACCAAATTTGACATATATGATAACAGACCCGCACTGAACACATCCATATGCCAATATTCACTCAAAGTCATAACGCCACCTGCTGGCAACAGGAAATGACACGTTTTACGCTGTAATGTACTACTCCGAGCAGGTTGGACATATGAACTTCAAAACTGTCCCAGGAAACGCTTAACACATTGATGAGGCTTGTTGTAAAACTTGTGAATTTTTGGTTAACGGCTTGGCAGTGGCGTGGCGGCAAAGTGCCATGCTTCGCTATGACACAGGAAGTGTTTGTAACTTTACTGTACATGCTCAGATCTGTACGAAATTTTACACATTTAATAAGAGTCCCGCCCTGAACACATGTATATGCCAACATTCACCCATGGTCATACCGCCACCTGCTGGCAAGGGGAAATGACTTTAATGAAATTTCTGTGGCACATGTATCATGTCCAGACATACCAAAAAGCCTCTTGGAGTGATGCCCTAAAGCCAACAGGAAGTCAGCCATTTTGAATTTTATGGTCATTTTTGGATGATTTACACACTCCGTACTTTAATGAACTCCTAGGAATTTAGTCCAATCCCCTTCAGATTTCTGCTGTGCCTTCTAAACGAACTGACGATGAAAAGTTGTGCTATCTGTGAGTTTTCGTCAATGGGCATGTCCATGGCTTAGTGTCCAAAATCGATTCGCCGTGAAACAAGAAGTTGTTATAACTTCAGTGTGCATGCTCAGATTTGCAGCAAACTGTACAAGTAGGATGAGAGTCACGCCCTGAACACATCCATATGCCAATAAACACACAATGTCATAGCGCCACCTGCTGGCAACAGGAAGTGTCAAGTTTTACGCTGTTATGTACTACTCCCAACATATTTGCCTCACCTGCTTCAAAACAGTCTCAGAAGAGCCTTAAGACATTGATGATGCTATGTTGTGAATCTTGTGAGTTTTCAGATAACGGCGTGTCCTTCACGGCGTGGCGTCAGAGTTTGATGCTTCGCCATGACACAGGAAGTTGTTGTAACTTCAGTGTACATGCTTACAGCTGAACAAAACGTTACATGCTTGATAACTGTCCCGCCCCAAACACATCTACACGGCAATATTTATTTCTAGTCATAGCACCAAGTGCTATGTAGCGCCACAAAGGGGACACAGGAAGTGACGTATAACACCTTCATGCAGCGTCTGAAGCGCGTAGCAAATTCACAGCCGCACCAGCAGAACTCCAGAATATGCAACGCGGTCGCCTCACACTCCGACGCGTTACAAGTGTGAGGGCCCGCCCATCGCTGCTTGCAGCTTTAATATTGACATTATATTGCCATTAGTGATTTTACAGTGTAGTACCAAGTCATGAAAGGTTAATGAGAGTCACACTGACAATGCTTTATACTATCAATCACATGCTGCGGTTTTAATGGTCCCCCATTTCAGCAGCCCCTTGATGCTCTTTTATGAACCCAAACAGACAGTGACTGGAGACCATAAGCATGGACCCCTCCCTTATGTCAATGGAGCCATAGAGACACGGGCCATTACACACAGGCCCATTTATCTACAGACGGTAAAATGGCAATTATGGCCCCTGTTTGTGTGGTGTGTGGTATGTGTGTGTTTAGTGAATATATAAAAAAGTCATGAAGTTGAACATGAAACAAGAAATCAAGCTCGGCCAGAGTGCCTCTCTCATTTCTGTACAACATACACACGCACACACACACACACGGGATGAAGCCTTCTGACATTTCGAAAATGGGCCCGATGGGAAATGAGATTGTCAGACAATCAGGTAAGTGCCACTGAGGCGACTGCTCCCTGTTGTTAATCAAGAAGCACGCCATAAAAAAAAAGACAGAGAGAAAGGGGGTGAGAGAAACGGAGAAAGAGAAAATTGTCTTGGTTTTCATTTTTATGCAAAACAGCTTTTTTAATCACCTGCATCTGGTTTGACAATTTTTTTAACGGTGTCACTACGCCCACATATTTTAGCTTAAGATGGTGAGTAAAATGTTTTCAGAACTGACAGGAATGATTACCTATTCTGCAAAAATAAGACCAAGGTTGTCAGAAAAAATATTATCATAGAGGCAAAAGGTGTCCCTTTTCCTTACTTTTTACCTTTTTGTGGTATATGCTGCAGATGCCTCTCTCCAGGTCGGGCAAATGCGACAGCAGAGATCTGACAGAATTTAAGGTGAGAGAGTGTGACTCCAGGACCTCCTGCACAGCATCCTGCCTCCCTGAGATAGACCTGTGGGTTCATGGATGAAAAGGAAAGAAAGAAGGGAGAAAGGAAAGAGATAAATTAGATGGGAATGAAGGAAGGCAAAAAATATATATGTTCAGTCCCAGTCATCAGCAAGGAGATTTGTCACTTGGGGAGCTGAATTGCCCTTGATTGAAAGGCTCTGTTTTTCTAAAAGACGCTTTGAACCTAAAACAAATAACCGCCAAATCACCTTCTTTGTAAATTCTGTGCTGTACTGAGATTTGCCAATAGTCAGAACAACTTAAAGTCAACCATCTATGAGGGAAAGGATTATAGAATTATTTTTATTAACGTAAATGTCTTCAGTTTGTGCAATTTTCACATCTAATCTTAAGGGTATCCTTTCTAAGAGAGGTGTATTAATGGAGCACTAAGTTATGTGTATTCATAAGGTGTTAGTGTGTAAACTGCTGACCTGTAAAAATGCATTATATTAGAAGGCACAAAGAGTACAAATTTATTCTGTGAACATACACATCTGGAGCGAAAAAAGGAGATAAAGGCTTCAATGACTTCATCATTTTGTGTGTGATGGCGTGTGGGTGTGCAGATGCATGTGTGTCTGTGTCATGTGCTGCTGCACTGTGTATCTTGGAATTAATGTGCCTGGGTGTAATCTGGGTTTTATCGATGTTGAAATTCTGTAGAGGAGCTATCTGGATAATCTCAGAGCAGTGCCAAATCCACAGCTATAATCCCTACAATGTGGGAGGCGGAGGACCACACACACAGAGTGTGTAAATATGTACACAATCAATCAATATATGGATAATAAAATTACACTGCAGAGAAGGGAACTAGAATAGTAGTGCAATACTGTGAGTCAGTTTCAGCGTTTTTATTTGAAGGAGGTCGCCTCCAGATTTTTTTTTTTCTGTTTTCATCCCACAGTGTTTCGGAAAAGAGAAACGACTGCTCCGCTAGGCAAAAAGTGTTGACATTATGGGCGCATTATTACATCCTCTCCAACAGCATTGACTTATTTAGATGTGACTTTGGAGAATTTCATTAAAAATATTAATTCAAACATCAGAAAAAGAAAATGGGAAGTAGAGATAATTTAATAACAACTGTCATGTCACTTCTGAAGCTCATTTATGCAAGTTACAAATCAGGCACTTATCCACTACTCTATTCTTCAAAACTGCAGTGATTTAAGCCTGTAAATCCCAGTTAATTATTAGGATCTAAGCAGCGAAGCTGCTGTAGCCCTATTGTTTTTGTTCACTTTCGTCTTCTTTCTTCTTTTCTCTGCTAAAAGTGTTTGGGCAGAAAAAACTGCTGCACAAAAACTCACCAGAATTGGCAGGTGGGTTGCAAATTCCACCCACTACTCAGGCAAAACAATGGCACTGATAGACCGATGGTGGCGCTATAATCAACTTTACGTTTTTGAAAATTATCTCGAAAACGGCTTCGTCTAGAGTCAAAATTCTTTCATCATTTTATTTAATGTGTGAGTAACGTTAAGTTACCATAACAGCAGCAGTGCAGGAATTACTTTTAACATGAAGGCAAGGCAAGTTTTTGTATAGCACATTTTAACAACAAGGTAATTCAAAGTGCTTTACACAAAACATATAAGCAACAGAGAAGTATAAAAAAAGTTTAAAAGCAACATAGGGAAATTGAAAAAAATAAAAAATAAATACACATTAAAACAGGGTAAAACTGGACAGTAAAAGTTACAGTACAGTGTACAATCAGGGTTAAAAGAGTTAAATGGAAAATAAAAACAGGCCGAGGGGTTGAGCAAATAATTGAGTTACAATTATTTTGAAAACAGAATAAACAGAGAAGTACACTTAATCTACTCTCTCTAGCTAGTCTGTGCTCAGGTCCATAGCAATCTTTGGGTCCACTGAAATTCCAAAAACCCTCAGACACTACAAAGAAACCAGGACATGTCTGTCCGCAGGCCACTTTGATCCAGTTATACTCTGGACCCATCTGCGCATTTACAGGTGGACAGAGGTCCCGGCAAATCACTCCAGTGCGAGATTTAAGACCACTTCCTTCACTCTGTTCAGTCTCACTCTCATTATCTTTTCACTCAATTACCTACTCATTTCTCACCATGTAAATAGTTAATTAATTGCTTTTAAGCAATGGTAAAAAGAAAAGTCTTAATTTAAAAGAATGACTGTTTCAGCAGACCTGCAGTTACCTGGGAGTTTATTCCAGATATACGGAGCATAATAACTGAACGCTGCTTCTCCTCATTTAGTTTTGACTCTGGGGACAGAAAGCAGTCCTGCCCCAGACGACCTGAGAGGTCTGGATGGTTCATAACGAAGCATTTTGGCCCTAAACCATTTAGTGCTTTATAAACTAACAGCAGGATTTTGAAATCAATTCTTTCACATACAGGAAGCCAGTGTAAAGACCTCAGAACTGGAGTGATGGTCTTAATGAGGACTCTAGTAGCAGCGTTCTGAATCAGCTGCAGCTGTCTGATGGATTTTGTAGGGTGACCTGTAAAGACACTGTTACAGTAGTCGAGTCGATAAATGCATGGATACGTTTTTCCAGGTCTTGCTGAGATATAAGTCCTTTAATCCTTGATATATTCTTCAGGAGATCGTAGGCTGACTTTGTAATTGTCTTCATGTGGCTCCTCAAATTCAAGTCCATGACTACACCAAGATTTCTGATTTGATTTGTGGTTCTTAATATTACAGATTGAAGCTGAGCACTGACTTTCAGTTTTATCTTTGTTTAATTGTAGAAAATTCTGGCACATCCAATCGTTGACCTGCTCAATACTCAGCACTTGTATGGGCTCATAGTCCCCTGGTGATATCGTTATAGAAATCTGTGTGTCATCTGCATGTTGTGTACCAACAGTGTGGATTTGTGCATTTTATATCAAATAATTTGGAGACTCAAAAATCCCTTCCCTCTCTCTCTCTGAGAAAAAGGAGGGGGTAGGAAAGTTTTCCTCCCCTGGAGGTAGGCCTTTTGACATGCAAAAACTAGACACATCACCTGGGGTTTGGTAAGGGACTGCAGAGACTCAATCAGACATGCATTGCTTAAGGACGCCATAAAAGATGTCAACAGACACTTAGCAGGACAGCAAAAGAAGTGTCCAATCCCTCTCCCTATAGGGTGCCTCAGGACATCAAAGTACCGGACGTTCTGATCCCTTTTTCCCATAGAATAGCTGGGCCATAAAACACCACTCCGTCTGTTCTTTTAGCTGATGTGCAAGTGTGATAAGCCAGGAATGCGAAAGAGGGACACAAACGACTCCTGCCTTCCTGAGCTAAAACAATGTTTCATTATAAACTGTTGTTCTCTTTAAATAATAATCCTTGCTAAGTTAGTAGTGGCGCTGCCTCTTAGGTCAGTTATATTACCATGTTGTTACTATCTGTTGTTGATATTGTTGCTGAAAAGAATCTAAATAAGTTAATTTTGCAGTGTTTTAATATTCAGCAAGGTTAATGACATTACTTCATTTTATGTGTAACCAATGCTTGTTCCAAACACTTTGTGACAACTCCTTTAGAAAGGATATGATAAGAATGTCATCCTATACTCGATTAATTTTCCAGCTTGAATTTAATGTTAACTAACCAAATTCCACAGCTCCGAAGCAAAGGCTTGTTTAAAGAATAATCAAAGTTGAATATTTACTCCTCATGTAACCCGAGCTCCCCCAAGTGGACAAAATAAGTATTGCATGCCATGATTCCTATGAAAGGCTGACCTCAAAGTTTTAACTAACTTGTCCTTTTTATCAAGTGCTTAAAAATAAGAACGGTACAGCTGTGTGTCAATTAAGGTTTGATTGTGGGAAGATATTGATTACAATACACGTAAATAGATTTTTGATTTTTAATGTCTAAAGAAAAACGGTCTCTCGGAAACCGAAAACAAAGCCCCCTCAGGGAAACAAAGGACTGCCCTCTGGGAACCACGCCCCAAAAGACAAAAGCAGCGACACATGCGCTCTCTTCCTTCTTGTCCTCTGCTGGTTCCTGGCCTCTTCAAACTGCACGTCGGCACGCACCCAGCGCGCTCCGTCTCCAGGCGCAGCTAAGGCCTTTGTTCGTTTCCCAGCCACACACGCGAAGCGCCGCAACATCGATTTTTCCCTCGCTTCCAACTTACTTGTTGTTTTATTTTCTTTCTTTTTGTTTGTTAAAGTTATCAGACCATAAGTTACACAAGTTTAATTGAAGAACGACCAAGTTTTAAGCTTTATTTCGTCACGCTAACTTACGCTGATCCCAATGCCCAGGCCAACCATGTAGTCCCGCCAGCAGTAACAAAGGACGACCAAACCTTTGACCCGCGCCAGGGTTGGCCCCCACTGCAAGTTTCTTCAATAAGCCTACATAAGACAGACATCCGGAGCAATTCCCTGGCAGAGAAAGCGACTGGCCGACGGCTTGAAGCTGTCCTAACCGAGAACGTACAGACTCTGCCAGTGTGAGGCCATTGACCAGCACCCGGCTGGGAGAAGCGACACGCAGTAAGACCAAAACCCTGCACTCTGTGATCAGTGATGTCCCATAGTTGTTAATAGAGTATCTTTAACTCTTAAAACTCATAGCTTGCGTTCATTAGCTGCCCGTATGAGTCAAACGCTCCCCACAATAGAACCCCTTCTCATTGTTTAGCCATTGTTTATTTCTTTGATGTACATGTAACAGCATTTATAGTCACCTTAGTTAGTTAATAAACTCCACTGTAATCAAGGAATTGTGTGTGTATTGCCTATTTTCAAGTCCCTGCCAAGAGAATTTGCCCCTTCGATATGAGATTGACTGACTGATTTAAGATAATTGAGCGATTATTAACTAACTGATCACTACTGAATAATTGTATAATTATTAAAACCATACCCAGAGGTCCGGAGACTCTGGGCGGATTGGATCTCCGGTGGTGCCACCGCAAAACGAGAGCTTTAGATATTAATATTCTCCTCATATTAAAATTCATAATTTGGTATTGATTCTCATAAATTTATT